ACCTTCTATGCCCAGCCCATTGTCCTAGCTCTGCTTTATGCCTGTCTAACCGCCTACTACACGTCTAGGTTAAGACCAATACAAAAATGTATTGTAGGTTCATAAAACTTCCTCAATTGATATGTTTCAACTCTATAATTTATAACAAATGAAATCTTTTAGGTTTAAAAAAATCAACATAAAGAAAATGTACCTTTGAAATTGTTAAAATACAGGAAGGAGGGCCCCCCCTTACATATTTCTCCTAAAAATTTACATCTCCTCTTCTCTCCCAATCTTCACCATAGAGCATGTCTGAGAATGTGTGTTGGGGTGGAACATAAAAGGAGGTTGAAAACTGCTGAACTAGAGAATATTCTCTTTATTAAAGTAAATAGTGAGACCATGTTAACAACATGCGAAACATATCTAGTTACTTAGAAGAGACTGGTGGTTCCCCTCCCATTTTCATGAGGCCTGCCTACTACTGATACTGCTCTAAGTCAAGGTAACTAAACAAGGCTGCCTCCAGTCCATAGGGCACCTTCGTGTGAACTATTAAAAGGCACCCCTGCCATTTGCTGGAAAATTGTTGTAATATGCTTGTTTTGTTAGATGACACTTCACTCTGACCGACATTTGTCATAATAAATATACAACCTCGTTATGTTCATTGCAGCCCCTGGGACATGGTACCATTATGTAGTGCCCTGTCTACACAATGGCATGGGGCATTCCCAAGTAGAAGAAAAAGAAATCACCTATGGCAACCTTTGCCTATAACATGAAAATGAGAAACCAGATTCATTGCAGTAACTCCTGGAAAGTTCCTGTTGGGCAAGTTGGTGGTGGTGGAATGTTGTGGAGGCGGGCGAGGGGGCTGGGAGGTTCTTTCATTGATGGCTTCCATTATTGAGAACAAGAGCTTGGCTATGGCTCTTTATATGCCTTCAGTTAGAAAGAGCCTGCAAATTCCAATTACTTAGCTAAATGGAAAAGATTCTCTGTTTACAGAGAAAATACAAAGCTTGCTTCTTCCCCATCATTAAGCAGACCGAGTATACTTAGCAAAACTTTTCCACTTAGGTGTCCAAGTTAAGACTATCAGAGACTTTTGTTTGAAATCTAAACTTTTTAGAAACATTTTGTAGGAAAAACGACTCACAGGCCCTTTCAAAAAGAATCAAATAAATAGTTTGGGGGTTTCCATCTTGGAATTGGGATGTTTATTTAAGAAACTTTAATAAAGCCGTCTTTCAAGCCCACGAAAATTACAGTCAGAATCAAGTGGCGACTAAGGATTCAGGAAATAGCTATTGATTTGTGAGAGAGTGGGGGAAAGAAAGTGCCAGGAAGGAAGCAACTTGAGGAGAAACTTTTGCTAATGGTTCTTATTTCCTCCAACTTTGAAAAAGCATTCCACCCGCAGCAGTTTAAGACATTCTCACTCCCAGATTAGCCCACCTAGGTGAGAGGTAGTACCCAGGGCATGACTGGGCTTTTCTGAGCAAAGGCATGAGAGGGGATGGGGCTGACACACAGGCTCAAGGCTTAATAAAAAAGGGATTTTTCAATGAGGACAGGCAGGGCAATAAGGGAAAGTCCAGAGCTTCCTGCCCAAGGGATTGGGCAGAAACCAGGGAACAATGGAAGGAGAAGAGCTGGCCAGGGCGATCCTGATTGGAGAGAGAAATTTGCACCGCAGAAGAATCCATATGGATGCCAGAGATGGAGTCCTTCATCAGGTGCCCCGAGATGCGCCCTAAGCAGGGGCACAGCCATGAAAGAAGCTAAATTACTTTGGACACCAACCTGCCTTTTTATTTATGTTTCAAAGTCTCCCTGGGCAAGAAATCAGAAAATATAGAGGGAACCATAATATCAGAGGTCAGAGAAACATGTAGTGGTACGCTATGAAAGACAGCTGAAAATGACATGCAGAGAAGGGGGCATGTGCAGTTATTTTGATCAAACTGACAAAGCTGGACCAGCAAATATAGAAGTCCAATGGTTCTGAAGTAGCCACACTGGAGATCAAAGGCTCTGCATCAGAAAAAAAAGTAGCTTAGCCAAATGTCACTGGTGACATTTCACAAACACTTTCTACCTTATGCTCCTAATTATTATTTCTATCTATAATAATAAAAGCTTAATATGCTAACTAGATGGGACGTCCTTCTGGAGGAACCCGGGGCTGTGAGCGAAGCCCGGGTCCTGGATGCCAGAGGGAAGCTGGTGCTGGCAGCTGGGGAAAGGAAGGCCTACTCTTGCATGAATTTTATGCATCAGACTTTTAATATACATATATATATGCCTAAGCGACCATTACAACTGGTCGACCAGTCGACCAATCACTATGATGCACACTGACCACCAGGGGGCAGATGCTCAACATAGAAGCTGCCCCCTCATGGTCAGTGCACTCCTACAGCCAAACTCCCGGGGTCCCTCCCACCGGCTGGCCGGCCCCAATGGCCCCGATCACTGGCCAGGCCACAGGACCCCACCTGTGCATGAATTCATGCACCGGCCTCTAGTTGAAATATAATCCTAAATTCATTTAGGTTTTCCAGTAAACGAACACTCTTAGAATGCCATGGTTGCTTGTTTTCCATGTTTTTTATTTCAGTGAAATAATGGTGAAAGATATATGTATGCTGTGTCCTTACTATCACTTAGGTTGACTCAGCAATGATATAAACCCTGTGGAAGTTGAGGTGGACCCATAATCCTCGCCTGAGCTTTCGTTACTGTTGTGGTGCCTAGTTGACCAAGGAGTTGCATGGTCAGGGAGGTAGAAAAGGAACTTCCCAGGGAAGGACAGGCTATTAAGATGTGACCTTGTCAATTAGATGTGGCTCAAGAGTGACTTCAGTGACAACCAAGAAGATGAATAACTTTCCCAGTTGGGCATGAGGTGGAGCTGGGTGGAAAGTAAGATGAAGCAACCAGAAACCTCCCCATATGTCTGCCTTGAAGGGTAAGGCAAGATGAAGCTAGTGGCTCTCAACCTTAGCTGCACATGAGAAACGCCTGGAGCTTTTACAGATTCTGATACCCAGACCACACCCCAGGACAATCAAATCAGAATCTCAGGAGGGACCTGGCACCACTGTTTGTCTTGTTTTGTTTAAGTTCCCAGGTGGTTCCTGTGGCAGCCAAGTTGGGGAACACCTGGATTAAATGAAACACCGCAGGTGTCTGGCCTGCTTGGTGCCCAGTGAGTGCGAGCATCCTCTTTGACTCACTTTCTGCTGCTCCCTCCCCCTCTTCTGAACTCACACAGAATAGCACTGCATCTGTCTTGGCCTCACCACACACATGAGAGGTGACTGCCTCAGAGTTGGAGAATTCTTTTTATCTTCATGTTAAAACAGACAGGACTCTCCTCCCACTTTTTATGTACCGTCTCATCACTTATTTCATACTTTTATCTTCCTTCCAATATTACCCAGAACCTGTGGGTTTAGGACGTTTTCTAACTTCTGTGTCCCTAGGGATTGAATTTAGTTAAATCTTCTCGAGCACTTCAAAAGGATCAGGGTGAAAACAAAATTGAAGGAATAAAGGAGGTTCCTAAAAATAGAACACAATTCATCCATTTCAGTTAAAGATGCCTTCATGTTTTCCAAGCATTTTTGGACTCACAAACATTTTTAATAAGCTTACTTATGAGTCTTGCTGAAAAATAAATAAAATACACTTGTTTTCATTAAAGGAAGAGATCTTTTTCCATCTTAGTTGGTATTGTTGAAGGAGACAAAAAGGAGTCCAAAACTCGGCAAAAAATCACATAATTAGTGACATATTGGTCACAGATGTGCGGGGAGAGCTACACTTTCTTCCTGTGATTAGTACTCTCAATGCCCACAAATTACATCTGAAAGTCAGATAACCTCCTTACAAAAGGGAAGGGCGAGAATTATGATATTTGAAAAATCTTCATTTTTAAGATATTGTAGGCGTGTTTTTAGAAACAGGCGAGTGACAAATGTTTACTTGCAAATTGTATTTTTAGAGATGTAATGCCAGAAGATGCCCATCTTTACTTATTATCCTCAAGTCAAGCAAGTGCAGTACTTGTAAATGATAAGATTTCCTTCCCTTAACAATTCTCAAGAAGGTCAGGAAGGCAAAACTCAAGAGGCAGACGGGAACTCTGTCCACTAATTGCATTGCTTGCATCTGTAGGCCTTTGAAGCAAAGTAGGGGGAGTTTGGCCAAGTTGTATTCAGTTGCATAAAGTGCTCAAGGACTTTAAGGAGAATATGGACAAGCCACTCTGGGTGAAGGGTTAGGACTCACCTGGGAGGACACGGCATTGCCGCTCGGATGCCCGTGAAGGCAGTTGTGAAATCAACATAATTCTAGCCCCAAGACTCTGACTACAAGGATGTATTGGAAGGAAAGGGCATATTGTAAAAGAAAAAGGATGAAGAAGCACATCTGATGGACATAAAAATAATGACAAACTAAAGCCTTTAGAAGATTTCTTGAGAATGTTTTACTCCTGTTGATAAGAAAACTAGACAAGGCAATGACTCCTAGAGGGAGGACAGGTGCTTCAATTCTCATCATGTTTAAATGACTGAGCTGACCAATTTCAAATGTCACATAAATTGAAATTGGAAAAAAGGTGGAAAGTCGGCAAAATAATTAGTGCATTACCGATGTAAGTAACTGAATTATGACACAAATGGCCAAGTTTCCTGACATAGGTAGAAGGTTATCTATTTGCATTTTTAGTTCGCTCATATGCATTTCAAGATGATTTAGTGAGCTGATGATTGCAAAGACAGGTGGCTTTAAATCAGGAGTCACAAAGCTAGTTGATGTGCTGTCAAGGTCATGTCAGTGTGCGATGCGAATTGAGTCCTGTCTGCTGCCTCGTGTGTTATTTGATTTTTATAAGTTCAAGACATCATACCCTTCATCTTTTAAAAACTAAGCCTATGTACAAAAAAGACTTCAAGTTCCTTTCATTTTCAAAGTACCTCGTTTCTGTTTTTCCCACTTCCTAGGAAAGTGACAATATTGGAGGACCCTGATCAGAACATTCACCTGAAAAACCTGTCTCGCCATCAGGCAACCACGGAGGAAGAGGCTCTGAACCTGCTTTTCTTAGGAGACACCAACAGGATGATTGCAGAGGTGAGAGACTGTCCTCTGAGGCTGCTAGCACACTAGAGGAGATCATGGGATTTTAGGGACAGCAAGGACCTTACACACGATCCCATCCAACTCTCAGCTGCCGAGTAGGAAACCTAGATCCAGAGAAGCGAGAAGACTTTCCCAAGCTCAACAGCGACTTAATGAGCAGGAATTAGCATCTAGGCTCTTAATTTTTATATTTTTCAATTTTATACAAATTGGTTTGCAGCTAATGAATGACAACTCATTAAATATCTTAATTATAGGAATTTTTGCATAATGTTTGCAATTTAAAAATACACAATTCATTCTTCCTAATCTCAAATTACCCATGTGTTGGTGTGTGTTTACATTTCCATATGTTTTCGTATATTCAGTGGAGGATCACTTATAAAGCATTTGGATTAGTGCACGGGACACAGGAAGTGCTCTCTGCATTGGCAGCTGTCACTGGCAGATCTGGGAACACTGCCACAGTGTGTAATATGAGTACGTTTCGGTGTAATATTGGGGACATACTTATACTATTTATTGTTAATCTGACCTTCAAATCTAACTGGATATACCTGTATTTTACCTGGGATCCCAAGGCAGGAGCCAGGATTGACCCGCCGTGGTCAGGGGACCCTGACCTCAACCAGTTACAGGCTGGAGATGGAGGGTCACGAAGCTGTCATCCAGCGACCCTGTGGGGAAAGGAGTGGGGTGGTGGTGGTGGTGGTGGTGTGGGGACAGGTCCCCCAATGCGCAGCTGACCGTTAGTCCTGGCAGTTTCCTTTTTAAACTATGCTCCCAGATTCTCTGTCTCTGGTGACAAGCAGCAGGGGAGGACAATAAGCTGGGAGGATCAGCATTCTGGGAAAGTCTATCAACTGACCTTTCTTCCTGCCCCATTTTCTCTCTCTTGAATGTACTACCTTAGATACAAGACAAATAAATGGAAATGGAAACCAAATTCAGATACTGAAAATACGGCCTTGACATCTGTTTCTGTGTTGGGCCCTTACTTTTGTTGTTGGTGGTGGTGGTTTTTACAGTTCTGCATCAATACTTTTCAATAGACTAACTTCTATAAGTTGAGCTTATGTGCCACATATGATATGGACTTAAGGACCCTTAAACTATTACTTTCATTTCAGGGGACCTTTACAAAGTCTTTTTTAATCTTTATTTTTTAAAGCATTATATATGTCCCCTTATTTCCCCCATTGACCCCTTCTAGCCCGCACCTGCCCCCCACCCCAGACTTCTCCACGCTATAGTCTGTGTCCATGGGTTATGCATATAGGCATACAAGTTCTTTGATTGATCTCTTCCCACCCACCCCCCACATTCCCTCTGAGATTTGAAAGTTTGTTACCTTTACATAGTTTTAAATTTCAGAATATCTTGTTTTGCTTTACAAAATTGGTATTTGTGTTTTGCTTCAACTTTTTGCCCAGGTGGTCATCTATGGTGCTCTAATTTGTCACAATAATTAAAGATTAAGGAATAAAGGCAGATTAGAAATTAAGGAGTCTGATGTAGCACACCCCATTAAAAATCCTGTTCCTTCATACACAATTTAATAAACAGCAAACCAAGAGACAGAGACATACGAGAATCAATGCTACTGGAAAACCAGTGGGGAAGCCTGTCCCTGCCTCAGTGCTAACTTCCTTTGGAAGTGACTCACTTGTCTGAGAGAAGTCGAGCCCTGTCCCCACGGCGTCCCCTCATCTATAATGGGTAATTGGGGGCTCCTGGCCCTTAGTTACCGTGACTTCTATAAGTTTAAAAGCTTGGCCTTTGCTATCTAGTTTGTCAACTTAGCTCACTACATCTTTTCACACTGGTATAAAGTTTTAAGGATCTCAGATTTCCTTTATACAAGCTTATCTGTCATGTTCCTTCATCTTACAAAATCCCCACAGTCTTTTCCTATTACTTACTGATGAGTAATGATATTATTATAAACTAGAGGCCCGATGCATGAAATTTGTGCACTCAGGGAGGGTCCCTCAGACCGGCCTGTGCCCTCTCACAGTCCAGGAGCCCTCGGGGGATGTCCGATTGACAGCTTAGGCCTGCTCCCCGCGGAAAGCGGGCCTAAGCCATCAGTCGGACATCCTTAGCACTACCGTGGAAGCTGGAGAGGCTCCTGACACCGCTGCTGTGCTCACCAGCCGTGAGCCCAGCTTCTGGCTGAGTGGCGCACCCCCTGTGGGAGCACACTGACCATTTGGGGGCAGCTCCTGCATTGAGCGTCTGTCCCCTGGTGGTCAGTGCAGGTCATAGTGACCGGTCATTTCGCCAGTCAGTCGATTTGCATATTAGCCTTTTATTATATAGGATACGCTGAAACCTGAAGAAGTCCAATTCAAATAGTGCTGATATGTATTATGTTTTTTTAATGTATTCCATTTTCCAGTGAAAAGCCTAATTGTTTTAAACCAAATCTAATAGATGTGGGATGTTTCTGGGCTTGCTTTTATTTTTTCTTTGGTAAGAATAGCTACCATGTTTTCCTGAGAACCTGCTCAAGGACTTGACATTGTTGTAGACACTGTATAATTATATTATTTCTGATTCTTACTGTATAGAGGAAACTGAGGCTCAGGGTGTCAGAACACTGGCTGAGTGTCCAGGTCTGACTGACCCAGGGCCGTGTTCTTTCCTTGTGCCTCATTCCACAAACGCCACGACCACACTCACATGTGTCAAACTCTCCAAGTGAGGATCTATTTCTGAATTATTTAAAAGGATAGCAAGTATTTAGCACTTCAGTTTAATCTCTTGAATTCATTGAAAGCAAATACATAAAAATATAAATGAAAAAGAACTGTCAATCCCTGGAAATACTTTATTATTCAGTCTCTAATGAAGCATATTCTAGATTAAACCTCGCTGTCAGAATGTAATTTGACAGCACAGAACAAGCTTACCAGGATAAAAAGAAAGCACTATTCTTTTTTTTCTTCTCAAAAATAAGCTCCCCAAATTCCCATTTACACGGAGACATCCAGAAGTTGCCATAGTAACCAGAAAACATTTGCAAAACAAAGTCTGCAAATGTGGGACACCAGTGGAGTGCTCTTCCCTTGCAAGTTCTCTCTCAAAGCCAGCATTTCAAGGAAAAATGATCAAGATTAGCCTCATCCTCTTCTTACTTATTCCAAACTCTTAAATAGTTTCTATAAGTCTACCAGTGTTTTGAATAAGACCTGATTATATCCTTAGGGTAAAAATTTTTTAAGTTGAATTGCTGGGCCAAAGAGAATAAATATCTTAAAAACTGAACTGTGTGTGGCCCAGTGTCAAAGCCCACCAGTAGCAAGCATGACTTTGTTATTGGAAAAGTTGGGGCGTCCTCTCCCCCACTGGTGCTGGGGGTGGTGTCTTCACAATATCTCCAGGAAAAGAATTTTCTGAGACTCGCACAGGAGGATAAGAGATTTTTATTTGCATGGAATTACACCCTTGGGTTTCCAAAGTCCTGTTCCAGTCCTAGAAGGAGTGTAGCTGGGTTTCAGTAGGCCTAAAAGCAGAGCCAGTGTCCAGAATTTCCATCCCATGATGCAGCCAGGTCCAGTTAGCATCAGGCTAGCTGCAGTCCATTAGTCTAGCGAATGCCAAGAAGCAGGAGCGAGAGAGCCCTGCAAGCCAGGAGTCAAGTGCAATTTGCCAAGAGAGCAAACTCCTTTGTTCAAGGGATTGAAATGTCCCAAATTTCAGGCCCTTGCAGTGGCCACACCCATTCTGGCCAATAACTTGTTCCCAGGTGTGACTGACAGTCAAGTACTTCCTCACATCACCCCAACTCACTGCACTTGCACCCATCCTCCTCCCTGTCCAGTCCCTTCCCCCTGCGACCTGCAGGGGATAGACCTGGGGTTCCCTGGGGAGTGTAAAGATGTAGCTTTCTGGCAAAGCTGCCCAAATGACATGCCTATGATATGTAGCTTTCCTATTACTAATAACTAGGTGAATTACAATGGAATACACTTGATACTTTTTGTCTTATCCTATATAATAAAAGCCCAGTGACCAAGTGACAGAATGACCAGAACAACCAGTCGACCAGTTGCTATGACGCGCAGACTACCAAGGGGCAGATGCTCAACACAGGAGCTACCCCCCTGGTGGTCAGTGCGCTCCCACAGTGAGAACGCCTCTTGGCTGACCAGGATGAGCAGCACTCCCACAGCTGGCTGATACCTGCAGGCCATGCCCCCCACCAGTGCACGAAGCCCGCGCACCGGGTCTCTAGTAATTAAATGTTTCTATCAATTAATCAAGTCTAATTGAGCAAGACAGTCCTGCACAGTTCCATAGCTGGGACCATTTTCTTGACCCTGCCCATACTCTAAGCAATCTGTCCTCAAATGTGGTCAGAGGATAACTTGCAATAGAGTTTCCTGTCATAGTCAAAAGACAAGTTTCTGGGACGCTATTTCTAACCCATGGATTCAGAATCTCTGCAGTAGAGCCCAGGATTGCACATTTTAGCATGTATATGTGCTCAGGTGAAAGTTGGGGACAGTTTGGGATTTTCCATTAAGAAGCTGTTGAAAAGTTTGTGAGCAGGTCTATAATATGCATCCTCACCAACACCACTAAATTTGAAATTTGGGCAATTTGGTAGGACAAAAAAAGTAATATATACCAGGGGGTAATAAATACATATATATATATATATATATATATATATATATATATATTATGGCTTGTGTTTGGGACCTGAAGAATTGCCACAACAAATGATGAGACTAGATAAGAAATATGAATTTGGAAACAGGGGGCCAGGCAGAGAGCCCAACTCTAGTAGGAGGGCTTCATTGGTGCCCAGGCCCTGCCAGCCTTTTATTCAATTTTAGATACACATATTGCCCTTAGTCAGGCAGGCAATTCTGGTAGCAGACAGACTATCTTAAAGGTCAGTAAATATTAGTAAAGATTTACTTTGAGACTATTAGGTCAGGAAATTGCTTGAGCCATCCTTGTCTCGACTAAACAATGGG